ACTGCAATTTGGAAAGACACTTTGGGACATTTTAATAAAACAAGTGAGAAATTACATACTGTTGCTTAGGACATATTCAAAGAGTTCTTTCTTTTATTATCTACATTTATTTATTCAATAACTGAGAGAAAATGAAGATGAAAATTAATATAATATGAAATAAAAGAGATAAAGATGAACACTGACATCAATAGAAATTAATCTGACATCAAGGAGCAAATTGCAACATTTTTTTCCAAATCATACCCAAACTTCTTAATTCTTTAAAAAGAAAAGAGAAATTTTGAATAGTAGTAATTAACAGACTCCTAAATTGTTTGATAATTCAATTAATGAAGAGGAGTGAATCATATGAATACATAGGAAAAAAGAGCTAAGTTTCTGACTGATTTGAGTTGAAATACTGACATTGATGAAGATAATGTCAAATTGATAATACATCAGAATCCAGTTAATGAGTGTCATCAATTCAAGGGATATTTAATGTTAGTCACCGTACAAAAAAATTTGAAGTACTTGTAATCTTACAGCTAATATATAAAAGAAATTTGATAAAGATTTCCCCATATTTGAAAACAATCCAAAAAATGTACATTACACTATTACCAATAAGTAAGACATTATTCTGAGTTATCTAAAATGAAAAATAATCATCAAACAACCAGGTTTAAGAATGGATGGGCTGTTGGTATATATGTGACTGCATGACCAATGTAATTCTGCAACCTGTACACTCAGAAAAATGAGAAATTATATCCCATCTGATTCAAATGTATGATATGTCAAGACTAATTAAAACAAATAAAAAAATTGTATATAAAAAAGAAAACCATTGATTCATGGGTACTTTTGCAAATGGATAGCAGCAAGAATTTCTGTTATAATAATGCACAGTAAGATAATTATAAATAATGAAAGTGTACTGTATAGTTCTACAAGATTAAAAAATGATTTTGAATGTTAAAGAAAAGAATGGATGGGATTTTGGGGGAGGGATTCTTTCTACTACCTTTATAGAAAATGATACTTTCCCTATCCCACTATGAATCAGCCTCCTTATATCAAAGAAAACATTCAGCATTTGTTTTTTTGGAATTGGCTAACTTCACTTAGCAATCTTCTCTAACTCCATCCATTTACCTGTAAATGCTATGATTTTATTCTCTTTTATTGCTGAGTAATATTCCATTGTGTATACATGCCACATTTTTTTTTTACCCATTCATCTATTGAAGGGAATCTAGGTTGGTTCCACAGTTTAGCTATTGTGAATTGTGCTGCTATGAACATTGATGTGGCTGTGTCCCTGTAGTATGCTGTTTTTAAGTCCTTTGGGAATAGACCCAGGAGAGGGACAGCTGGGTCAAATGGTGGTTCCATTCCCAATTTTCCAAGAAATCTCCATATTGCTTTTCATATTGGCCGCACCAATTTGCAGTCCCACCAGCAGTGTATGAGTGTACCTTTCCCCCCACATCCTCACCAACACTTATTGTTGTTTGTATGCATAATAGCTGCCATTCTGACTGGAGTGAGATGAAATCTTAGAGTGGTTTTGATTTGCATTTCTCTAATTGCTAGTGATGATGAACATTTTTTCATGTATTTGTTGATTGATTGTACGTCATCTTTTGAGAAGTGTCTCTTCAGGTCCTTGGCCCATTTATTGATTGGGTTATTTGTTTTTTGGTGTTTAGCTGTTTGAGTTCTCTATATACGCTAGTGATTAGTACTCTATCTGATGTGTGAAGGGTAGACAAATGCTAGATAATGTAGAGGGGTTGGAGGGGAAGGGAGGGGGCATGGGGTAATTAATGATGTGGAATGTGATGATCACTACTTTTCAAAGTACATGTATGAAGATACGAATTGGTGTGAATATACTATGTATACAACTAGACATATGAAAAATTGTGCTCTCTGTATATGATAAGAATTGTAATTCTGCTGCCATATATAAATAAAAAAATTTACATAAAATAAAATTAAAATACGTACCAAATGTAAAAAAAAAAAGAAATGATGCTTTCAATCATGTGAAGAGGTGTTCAAAGCTATGTAGTTAAAAAGAAAAATATATTACAAAAACTAATTAAAAAATTTAAAATAACAAGTATTACAGAAGCATTAGACAGTTAAGTAGTAAAAATTATTATTTAATAATTTGTTTTTCTAGCATTCATGAATAGTGAAGAATTTTTAATTGTGATTTATTTTCATTTTAAGTAAATATTCATGTCAAACCAAATTTTATCTTTTCTCTTAATGATTCACCCCTAATTGTATAAGCTTCAGATCCTACACTTTGCTAAAATCTGAAGCATGTTACCAAATAAATATGCTTGGGGGTAGGGAGGGAAGGAATGGGCTTTATACCTGCTAATTGGGCTGGGGACAAGTGTTTGCATCTCCTAGGAGCCTCTCCTGGGGTCAAGTGAACTGGCAGAATCCCTCCACCTGTGTCATTAGCAGCCTTCCCTTCAGCAAGCGCTTTTACTCAATAAACAAATGAAATTTGAAATATAACCCAAAATTTTGTCTTGCTTTCTGTGCTGCCTGACTAGGAGTTAGGACATATATTACTTGTAATGTCAAGAAATGTTACTTCAAATTGCCTGAATCTAGGTGGTCCTTGAAATAGTTTAATTGAAAGGTTTGTGGTTCATGAGAAGTGCAAAAGTGAGTGACAGAGGGTTTGAGAAATAAAAAAAGTCTTGTTCCCACTGAATGAGCAATAGGCAAGGAGCACTGTGGAGAAGGGATATCACTTTCTATTTCACAAGCAGCATGGTTCCTAGAATTAGCTCTTCCAGAGTCAGAAAAAGCTTGGGAAAGTAGTTTCAGTCATTAGAAAAACTTTAATATTGATTGAACCCCTCCCTTAAGGAACTAAGCCATTTATTGGGAAGAAAGGAAATATATAATAAGGATACAATTTTAAGTTGAACCTTATGGTCTTTTTATTATAGGTCAATAATGATTATTTCATGTGATTGTCAATTCTATGTGGTTGAATTATCAATAGTTTCATATCACTCAACATAGATAACTATGGCAGTATTACTTTTCCTTTTGGTGGGCCAGTTTTTCATTATTCAGGACCAAATGTCAATTTGGTATGGTTAGTACCTCTGATGCCTGGATAATACTTGGAAGAAGTATGACCCAGTCACGTGATAATTTATCAAAGTCTTCCATACATTTTCACATACAGTTAGTGAGAGTTGGAGGGTTATAATGAGGAGCCATTTCTCATTTTAAAACCTTGGAAATTGTTACAGAAATCAATTCAGGCTTGGTTGACTAAAAAAAAAAAAAAAAAAAAAAAAAAAAAAAAAAAAAAAAACATCCTCATAGGTGTGAGACTTGAGCTAGAACCTGAAGGGAGGGTACATTAAATTAGGTTGAAGGAATATGAGGGTTCATTCCTCTCTCTACATTTGCAAAAATGAACTGAAGAGAATGGAATTGCTGGGTTCAGGTAGGAAGGAAAAGAAAATGGAAAAGAATGGTATACAGTTTCAGTGAAGGGGGTTGAGGGTAGGAAGGGGAAGGAAGGTAAGCTATGAGGTGAAAGAATAAAATACAGAAATGTAGATGAAAGGTTAACGCATGCGGGCGGCTTGAGCGAACTCAGATCTTATCCTGAAGGTAATGGCCATTTATGGAAGACACAGAGAGTATTTTAGGAATATGTTCTGCATCCTATACTCCTCCTGCAATTGGTGTTCTAACAACTGAAAATCTGAACATAGAGAGGCTGGGACTGGCTGTTGTGTACGGAGAAGCACAGCCACTGTGGGGTAGCTATGCAGTTCCCCAAAGAAGTGGAAGATCAGCCCTGGTGATCTTAGAAAAATAGCAATACTGTTCCCGAGGAAGAATCATTTGCCTGTGAACATACTGTATTGATAATGCTTATGTGTTTCTGTGTGTGTGAGTGTGTGTGTATGTGTTTGTGTCTTAAACATCTTAGATTCTAAGAAAAAGCCTAGTAAGACTCCTAACAAGAATTTGTTCAGTTGCATTGAGTGCTGTCTGGTCTATAGGACAGCACACACATCTGATTTCTTCTTCATAGACCCAAGCTCCAAGTTACTAGGTATAACCATTTCACACAGCATTGCTTCCTGTGTGTTTGTAGGACTGCTTCTCAGGACTGTGGGTGAGAAGCCCATAGTATAACCCATATGAAAAGACTCCACCATTGTAATATTCTCCGTCTTTGAGAAGTCAATGAATGAGAGTAAAAACCATGCATATATGGCAAATTAATATTAAAAATAAATAATGCTACAGGTGATGAAAAGTGCAATTAAAATATAAAAAAGCTTAAGAGAGAGTAATGAATAGATGTTTGCCTTTTAGAGGGTGAGTTTGTAAATACTATAAAATCTAGTTTCATATGGGGAATATTCATTTGTCTCATCATTGTGTCTTCTCAAGACTTTTAAATAAGAGGATCCACTTTAACACAAAATTACAAACTCCTCAAATCTTCACTAGCAGCCAGAAAAACATACTTACAGTCTGTACTATACAGTTTAGCCTTTAGTTACATTTACCTTGCTTTGTTCTCTATTGTGTCAACAGTCAGCCTTTTGGGGCTTAAAATAGATCTTAAGCTTCTTGAAGGCAAGAACTCAGCCTTAAACTGAGTCCAGCACACAAAATGCACTTGTGAAGCAAAGACTGATTTATGGACAGTAATGCAGGGGTCTTAATTTCAAATTGCAGCTCCGCCTTTGAGATGCTTTCCGCAACCCAGCGCGACTGCCCACCGGGGGCATTATCTAGCTCCCCCCACCCTAAGCAGCCCTCCCTCGTGCTGTTCCCCCCTGAGGCCAGGAGGAGGCGCCACAGACTCGGGTTAAGCCTTTTCCCCCCTTCCCACCCCACTTCCCCCAGCACATGACGTGGGAAGCTGCCTCCGCCAGAGTCTTAGCAATTGGAGTGAGGGGGTGAAGGGGTTTGGGGGTGGGGAGGGGTGGGGGGTGTGGAGAAAGAGGACACAAGCTCGCACACACACCCTGAGAGCAGAAACCTCTTCCCTAGCTTCCTGGGTTTCTCCTCCCACCAGAGCCCGTGTGTGAGAGGTAGGTAGGGGTGTGTGTGTGTGTGTGTGTGTGGCACGTTTCTGGGTGTGAGACCCAAATCCAGACCAGGCGACCTGTGCTGTCCCCGTGCTCCCCTCCCCCCCCCCTAGTCGCCGGTGATTAATACACATTTTTCTTATTCTCCCCCACCTCCCCCTCCTCCTCTTCCTCTCCCGCTGCCGAGCAGTTGACTTGCACAGCCTGCCCCCGCCCGCTTCCCCTCCCCTGGCTCCCATCATCACCAACTGGAATCTGGGCTCCTGCCTCTCCACCTCCCCCCACCTTTTTTTTTTTTTTTTTTGAGAAAGGAAGGTCCCCCCCACCCCCTTTCAAAAACCACTTCCTTCGGCTTCTTCACCTCTAGGAAATCTCGGGGCTTCACTCTATCGAAAGTGCTCGTCAGGGTGATTCTTGATCACCACTATCCAGAAGTGCTGGCGTCCGAATGCATTTCCTTTTGCTTTGCAAAGAAGAGTCGTGAACTTCAAAACCCCCGAGACGGATCATTAATCCTGCTTTGCAGGAAAGGAAAACCCTCAACCCCCCGCCACCGGCCACCCTCTTCGGAGACTGCAATCGCCAAGGCACTCATAGCTGGTACGTAAATACTCGCTTTGGAGTCTCTCGTCTCAATTTTGGGGTTTAGGGGTGCCAGGCAGATAAAGGGTTGAAGCAGTGGAACCGTTAACCAACCTGGTATTAGGTAAAGCTCTTAAATCCAGCAGAATCCGGCACTTGCTAATTTGGACGTGGCTTTTTAAAAGGATTTTTTGGGGGAGGAAGGGGTAGGGCTGGCCTTGGTCTTTCTGAGGGGGTTAATCCCCTCACCTAGCAGATAGGCTGGGCAGCGGTGCCCGGGGCCGGAGCCACGCGCCGCGACCATCCGTCCAATCGACACGTTGCAGGTGAAGCCCAGTGCGCTGCACATCAGCGCCGCGGCGGCGTGAGTGTGCGCGGGGGTGAGTGTGCGCGGGGGTGAGTGTGAGTGAACGTGGGGGCGCGTGCGCGTCGGGGGCGTGTGTGCGCGTGTGTCAGTGTGCCCCTTCCAAGAAATGCCCAGTGTGCACCCCGTGCACAATCAGACCCATTCAGCACAAGCCCGGGGTGGGAGGAGGCGCTGCTGCTAGAGACGATGGGGAGAGCGAGACAAACATGTCAGCAGCAATGCAGATGGGGCTGGGGGCCGCACTTGCTGGCGAGTTAAGTGGGGATTGTGTTTCTGCATGTGTGTGTGTTGCTGTATCCTGCCTCTGCTCCCACCCTTCTTCCTTCCTTTCCACTTGCCTCCTTCACTCGCTCCCTCCCTCTCTCTTCCATTCAGGTTGGCTTTCCCACCTCTCATCCATGCCTGTCCCAGGAATGGTATAGCCAGACCTTTTCTGAATTATTTATAGACCGGTGCCAGCTGTTTTCAATTCCTCTCGTGTGCACTCTGTGGGAAATGCGGGGTTTCCTCCCCCTTTCCCATATAACGAATTGATATCTTTTTCGGAATGCATTTTTCTCACCCTCTGGGGGACTCTCAAATCAAACCCTGACCGCCTCTTTTTTCCCCCTTAGGAAGGGGACGCTTTGGGAATGACCCTGCTCCACGGAGGAACGGAGCCGGCCCCCAGCTTCTCCACACAGATCCTCCTCCACTAAAGCTCCAAAAATCAAAAACCATAATTGCCAGAAGAATCCTTAAAAATATATTCCAGCCACTAACCTCACATGCAAACGGAATAATTACTCTGGATTCTGCATTGTGAGCTGCTCTCCGTACCCTGAAATACCTTTGAATTAAATCTTTTTCTTTGAATTTGCATCTCTTCAAGACACAAGATTAAAACAAAATTTACGCTAAATTGGATTTTAAATTATCTTCTGTTCATTATCCTTCGTCTTTCTTATGTGGATATGCAAGCAAGAAGAGGAGACTGGACATTCCCAACATGCTCACTCCCTTAATCTGTCCGTCTAGAGGTTTGGCTTCTACAAACCAAGGTAGGGCAAATTTTATTTTATTTTTTCCTCACCTGGGGTAGGGATTCCTTGCTTTATCTGTCTCTCAAGTGGATCTTTTTGGAAGAAAAGATAAGGAGATACCAAAATAATGCTGTTTGGGAAAAAAGGCTTATCACAAAGAGGGAAATCTCCCTTTCCTTCTCATCAAACAGGTTTTGGGTTTTGGGGGGCATTGGGGGTGGATATATGTAGGCACAGAATATGTTGGAAGACATGCGATATGTATGTGTGTGTGTGTGTGTATATGTACACACACACACACACACACACAGGCAGCCGGGAGACCTGTGTGATTTTCTAGTTAAATCATTTTATTCATCCAGAGCTAAGCTATGATTTTTAATGGGAATCTAGAATTTTTTTTTCCCCAAGCTGGCTTTACCCTCTTGCCATCTTCATGCCTTTCTCCCTATCTCCTGTCTCTACCTTTCTAGGCATCTCTTTCGGTACCTTTTAAAAATTAAAAATAATGACTGAGATTACTGTGATTGTTGCCCTGGAGTCCACTTGCTGTCTAAAGGTTGACACTGGGCCCAGAGATCCCGGGAGGCCTATTGCAGAGGGGCAGGTCTAGATGGGGAATCGGGCGGGTCTAAGAACACCTGGAATTGAAGGATGCTGCAGATTAAGAGGACTTAAATCTTGAGCATGGAAAGAAGGAATTCAATATTCTGAGCATGGAAAGAAGTCAATATTCTGCTTTTAATTTATATTTTTTGTGTGCTATTATTTTTGAGCTGTAAATTTCTCCTTCTGTCTACACATCTATTTATACCCACACATCCTCCAAGCAAACTGTTACTTCCACACTCTTGCAAAATGGCTATCTTGCAGAGTTCTAAAATGCTGTGCATGTGGAAGGGGTGCAGAATTCGACACGTGAGTCTTTGTGTTAAACAAAGAGATGTGCTGTTTGCATGTGTTAGTCTTGTGCCCTCAAAAAATAGAATTAATACTTTAATTTTCCCCCTTTGATCAATTTTTACAACATGTGAAATGTGGTTAGGCAATGTTTTAATGAACTTGAAAACAGAAATAGCAGGAGAAATGGAAAAGACTTAGCTAATGACTCTTCTGCTAGTCACTCAGGCAATCCAAGACAACTCCTGAGAAAATCAGATCATTCATGGGCTGGAGGGCCATCATGGTGAACAGGCTGCTCCTCTTGCTCCACTGACCATACATCCCCAAACCATGAAGGCATCTGAATGCAGTAATTAAAATGGGATAAAAGTCTTCAAAAATATGTAGCAGAATCATCAGCATCAATAGTCTTCCTAAAAGTATTCTTTCTTCCCACAAATCTTTTTTTTTTTCTGGCATTAAAAAAAAATAACAATCCTTTAAAACAATCCCAAAATACTAATGGGATGTGGGGGACAGTAGCAGAAGGTCCTGTTACTCAAGATGACCATAGATGATAGTTCTTTATTGTCCAGAAGGGATGGAAATAATCCAAATTTACTGTTCCTCTTCCTGAGGTTTCCAGGTTTTTCTTTTTCTTTTTTTTTTTGAGCTTTTATTGCTGAAACGCTAATCTGTAACCATGGTGTAATCAGAGTGAGAGGGTGGGATCCCAATTTGAACCATGTTGTCACCATGTCTACAAATAGCTGAGGTTATCTGGTGTGTGCTCACCTTAGAGACACCTGAGCTGGTTCCCCATCTGCTTCTATTCCCTCAAGTGGGAGGATGAACTCTTAATTTTACTTCAAAATAGAACAGAGGTATGGGTGAGAAAGGCAGTTCCATGTGCAATGATTTCATACAAATGGACGGACAAAGAGGTGGTATCCATAGGGCAGGCACATGGTCCCTTTTGCATCCCTGGTGCATATGACAGCACTTTGCAGTGAGTAGGTCCTTCAGAATGTTCCTTGGTGATGAGGCCTTTTGACAGCCACCTCATTTGTCTTGAATGCTAATGGGATCAAGCCAAGTTGCAGGCTGTCCTTAGTTGGCCCAAAGACTAGGTGAAGGAGAGGAGGTTAAAAGGGGAGAGTGCTGAGAAAGATAAGGAAAAGGGGGTGAGAAAGGTGTAAAGAGAAAGGAAAGGTGATCCAACTGGAAAGGACTCCTTAGGATTCAAGGAGGAATTGCCACAGGTGGTCTGTATCTTTTTGACATCCAAAGCCTATTTGGAGACCCTGGTGTGGAGGCAGGTGTTACCTATCCTTGTGGACAGTGTCCATGAAACTATGACCCAATGGTGTTTTGGGCCATCCTAGGGCCATTCTTCTCTCTCCCTTTTCCCCTCACAGCACAAAGAACTGACTGGGTTCTATTTTGTCTTCTCTCTTTCTGCCACCCCCTGACAGTGTGGGTAACATGGGAAAGCAGTGTGGCTGCTGGTGGGTGGAAGAGCAGATTTAATTTCAATCAAGGAGTCTCCATGATGTGCAATTAAGAAAAAAAATTAATAGGAAATAAAGACTTCCCAGGAAAACAGAGTAAAGAAGGTTAGAGTGGCGATTTCAAGGGAAGCAATTCCACATGGTGATCTTCTGTGTTTCAGGTGTGGTGGAGTATGACAGATCTGTGAACAGAAGGATATTGGCACTGTAGAGACAGATGCTAAATGCAAGGAGAGAAGCAGGGTGTGCTACTGAATTGTCTAATTTTTCTCTCCCATTGGCTCTAGCTTTAGGAAACCTGTCTTGCTTTGCTGCTGGATATGTGTAATTTTTGTCAGGGGTAATGCAGGCAGAGAGAATAAGGAAGGAGGAAAAATGTCAGGAAAAGAGGGGAAAGAGAAATATTCCTGTAGCACTACTTTGTACATCAGGTGCACTATTTTAGGCTAATTGAGAAGAGCGACTTCTTCTGGAGGAGGGATGAAGAGCAGGAACCTTGCTTTTTTGTTCCTGCTTTACCTCCAGAAAAAGGGCTTCAGAACCTTGACTTTCTTCCTTGACCTTCACATGCATGCATCCAGCCTTGCATGGGGAGGGGCAGTGACCACCTGGAAGAGAGACCTGGGAACTGAAATTGGTTGGTAGAACTAGTGGTGTTTGACAAGGAGAAATAGGACTGAGCCGATCTAGCCTTGGGAACATCATTACCTTGTAAAATATTCTTTTAGTTCCTCCACAACTATGATGAACCCAGGGGACAGGATTTTTGTTTTCTGTTTTTTTTTTTTTTCCTGTTCAAGAGTCAAATGAAGGTGACATATTCACTAGTATTAACAGGCTGCAAACACTTAGTTAAGGTTTATGGACTATGAAATAAAGGAGTCAGGCGAAAGCACAGATTGTCTGTGAGGAAACCATAGCCCCAAACCAGCATATAGAAGCCAGAGAAGAGAAGGAAGCCTGGGTGGACTTCATTGTTGTACAGGTTGGAAAACTGTTGTCATGTATGGTGTTCCTCTGTCTTCAACAATGAAGACTGGAACTTGTAGAACTGCTCAGCTCTGGCATTTTGATGAGGTCAGGAGTGGATAAGCTAGAAAATTTAAGCTTTTCCTTTTCCTGAGTGTCATTCTATACCCTCCTTAAGAATTCTAGAAACTTCTTCTTTTGAATAAAGTATCTTTTTTTTCCCTCTGTTACTGTACACATGATTGGATACTAGTGTAGTCTTTCTCTATAAATAAATATAGATCAAGAGAGTTACTGGTCTAATGAATTGTTCACATTTATTAAAGTGCATCTCCTCTTTGCAACCACAAGAAGAAGTCTCCAGGGAGAGTAGATTAGTGGTTGAATTGATATTATTTTCCAGAGGGAGGCTGAAGATGGAAGAACAGAATATAGTCAGTAGAGGGAGCACACATAACTCAGAGAAGGTGGGTTTTTGAGGTCCACTTGTGGCTGTTAATTGTCTGCCTGTGGCCATTACACAAAATCCATTGAGTGGATGAACTTTTGGGATTTTTTGAACCAGAGAGATGTGTTCAAGGACCAGTGGTTGTTTTCTTGATGTTCTCCCATTACTTGATTTTCTTCTTTTTGCTCCACCCCTGAGGTTGGCGGAGAAGGGACCTACTGCATGTGTTGTCCCCTTGTCAGAATTCTTCACGACTGCCCCAAACAGTGGGATTGCTTTGCCTTTCCTGTTTTCTCAGCATGTATTCATGTTTTTTCATTATTTTTCTCCTAATTTTGTTCATATGTATCCCAAAGAAGTTTGTGAGCTTCTCAACGGTGGGAGAGATGTTTTATCATCTTATAATTGTTTCTTCCTAGTGTAGTGATGGCACATAATAGGTACTCAGAAAATACGAAGTGAATGAACAGAGAAAGTGCAGTATTCATTAGCCGTGATGCTGTTCATCATTTGTTCTGGTGGCTATAGGAAGTATTGAAGTTATACTGTTAGACGTGATTGAGAATATGGAGCTCTGTGAACTTTAGAAGGCATCTGCTCTGACTTCCGCTTACTAGATGAAGAAGCTTAGATCCAGGGGCAGTAGGTGATTTGTCTAAGATTGTGTAGTCCTGAGTACTGGTGCTTTGTGTAACATACCATCAGTTAGAATGAGATGTGGAGGTGGTTATCTGTGGATTTCAAATGTCTACATCAGTGCATCTCAAACTTTGTTGCATATAAGAGTCACCTGGGGATCTTGTTAAAATGCACATTCTGATTCACTAGCTCTGGGGTGGGATGTCACATTCTGCATTTCTAACAAGCTCCCAGGTGATACTAGAGTTGCTGTACCATGCATCACCATCTACACCATCTCTGCACTTAATTATATGTCATGGTTAACATTGGCAGTGTCGCATATGTTGTACTTTTGGGACTCCCAACACCTCTGCTTTGTTCTTATATAAAAAAATAAAATCAAAAAGGAACCTATGTATTTAAGCTTACCCATCTCCTCTCTTTTTTTATTCTTCCACTTTATGTATCTTTGGCCTCTTCTCTTTTCACCATCTCTGCTCTTATTCTGGCCTTTCTCATAGATGACTCTTTTCCTTCTATTTTTCTTTTTATGTTCTCCTGCTTCTTAGTTCACCTCTTTATTAATG